CATACTGTTTTATAATAATTTAAATAATGATCTGTCCAGATTATAATTAAAAAAAAAAACATAATGTTGTAGCAATTTTAATCATAATTAAGCAATTTTGATTATGATAAAAATTTATCAAAAATGTATGCAATATTTAAAACGCTTATTTTAACTTTAAAAGTTTCTTCAAAATAAAATGTGTGATTCACACATAAAATAGCTTTCTGATTACAAAAATATATCTGATAAATTTGTGATAATCCCCAAAGTACTGTTGACCTCAAGGGCACGAATTGATCTTGTTGATTCGTCATTAAAACTTTTTTGCTCCTTCTCAAAAGCATCAAGTAATCGTTGCAATTGAAACTGCGGTAGAGTAGAACGATACTCGTGAAGTGATGTCGACATCGTATCTTCAATTCCCATAGTTTTATCATTTTTGGCCATAAATATTTGAAATAAAATTTGCAACAAATTTTATGAAATTCGTTTTTATTACTAAAACAAAAGTATTTTTTAATATTCCTATCTATTATTTGTTTTTTAATGGTTAATTACAATGTTTTCAATCAATCAAAGTTCGCGAACCCAATTTTGCGAGTAATATAATCCACAAATCGTTCTACAAAGCTAATTGTTGTACATCTGTTATCACTAGTGTAGAATGATAAGAGAAGTTTATCGCTATCATTTATGAGTTTATAATAGAAAAATTTTCAGCACATTTTATTTCTTTAGTTTTATCAGCAGAGATATCATTTGACTTGAGATAGATGCAGGTTTAGTTAATATTTTCATGCATATACTTCAAAAATTCTTACCTTGGAAAATGAAAACATTTATTCAAAATTTTCTACAAATTTTGACAATATTAAATTTAATAATCCAACTTAATTAATCAATAATAAACCTGGAGATTTACAAATTGCTGATGATGGACTGTGGAATGATACTGCACGACGAATAGCAGAAGACGAAGGCACGAGTTGCGGTGAATCACGAATGCATGCGCTGAAATTTTTAGACTTGAAGAGTAATGAAAATTAAAATTATATGAACGGATTCTTGCCAAGCATAAATGAAACCCATAAAAGGAATTTGTTGTTAATAATCATTTTTATAAATTTTGCTAATTAAAATTTTTAATATTGAAGTGACATGTTTTCAAAACATTTTTTAATTTGTTTAATTTAAAAAATTCATAAATTCGTATATTTAATTCATTGTTTTGAGATCAGAAATTTTTAAATTCGTTTTTAAATTACAAAGTTTTAAAATAAGTGCATAATTTAGTTTTAAACACAAAATTTTCACAAAAACAAACGATACAAAAATGCATAAATCAAAATACAGAAGACAAAAGCACATTTGCAAAACTTATTTGACCTCAGTTTATACATTCTCTATTTATTGCCATATTTTGATACTACCACAATTCATTCTTATCACTTTAATACTATCATTTCAGTACATTTCATTTGTTATATTTTAATTTAAAGATGTACATAGTAGTTTGATATTTGTGATAACAGTTTACATATTGATGAACTATTTTGACCTGTCAAATCTATTTGCATCAATTAATTACCATTTTACTACGTTAGCCCTGAGATTAATATTTTGATACTACCCTGAGATTAAAATCTTTCAAAATATTTGTGATATTGTAGAAGATCAAAGCCTTTCATTGTGTATTTAGTGTTGTTTATCGACTAATGAAGCAAAAGTTTCAACTGTGCATAGATGGATAGTAAAGGCTTTAGGTGCTGCGCAAAGTTACACGTGTTTGGAAGGATAAATGCAAAAGGTCATACCAGGTAAAGAGTTAATTAAATGATTAATTAACCTTTGATCCAAATCAATATCGATACCATTGGCAGACTGAATTTCATGCTGATTTTTGGCAAATTTACCAATTCCCGATCGAGAATCCGCGCATTCTGCTGTTTCACACATTTTCTGCACTCGTGCTAGCATATCAATCATTACATTGGTAGATGAAAATGCTCGATATGACTGCAAATTATCATTTAATTACAGAAAAATAAAATACCATTTAAATTCTTTCTGCATGCTATACTTAGTCTTTTATTTTATTAGCTGTAAGCATGAGCTCATTTATTCACTTAATGTTTTGCTACATTATTAATTAATTACTTTTTTCTTTATTTGATTAAATTAGACTTAAAATATGTTCAAATATATCTAAACTTAAAATTGTCTGACTTAATTACAAAGTTTTTTCAAATATATCTGTATTTAGTTACATAAAGAGGAAATATATTTTATGACATATTACTTATTTAAAAAATTTATCTGAATGATTAAATAATTTTATAATGCAAATATTATTGTCATAAAAATAATCATTTATTGTTTTGTTACATTTTTATTCTTTTGACAAATTTCAAATTACAAAAGAAAATTTGTGATATTATTTCTTACGCTAAAACTGATTATTGAAACTCTTTAAATGATTATATATTCATATAAATTATCTCATTTATATTTTTTATTTGTAGAATATTTGTAAGATTGAAAGAATACAGTAAAATACAATCCATACTCCATCTTTAGAACAATTCATACTAATCGCTTGCATAATTTCTTCGTCTGAATATCCCATATCCTTAGCAAGTCTTAACTGTTCGCTTAATGGAAGTGCGCTTCCTTCTTCAGCCATTTGCTCACTCCAATGTACTATTAAATATTAATAATATATTACAATTCTTATTTACGTTATATTACTGATATAACTTTTATACAGTAACTTTTGTATAGTAACTTGAAAAATAAAGCAATGTTGTGTCTCGTGTTATCGAAAATAATATTGCATTTACTCAACTAATAAATAAAAATTGTAAATTAAGACAATTAACTTTTTTAAAAGATTATTTTAATAAATAATTTTGTTTTTTTCCTTTTTTTGGTTAACTAAAGTTTGCAGATTTTGATAATTTAAAATATTAAAAAAAAATTATTGAAGTAAATTTAATATTAGTAAACTACTTTAAAATAATTCTCTGCTGTAAATTTATTTGTAGTATTCACTTTCCAAAATATGCAAATAAATTGAGATTAAAATAAATAAATTGTCAAAATTTATTTTCTTAAATAAATTATCAAAAATAAAAATTTTTGCAGTTTTCTATACAAAATTTAATTAGTTTAAACCTAAAATGTTTTTAGAAAGTAAAAATAATTGTAAAATGATTTAAAAATTTATTGAATGTCAAAAAGTATTACTTTATAATTCTATGAATTACTTTAATAATTACGCTTTTTTTGTATAGAAATTGCAAAAATTACTAAAAGTTTAAATTCAAACTGATTATATTTTGCTCATTTATCATTGACAAAAAGAATTACTATCAATATTAATTACAAATTATTCATAAAGGAGTAAAATTAAAACTGTATTTTACAGTATTTAATCAAGTTGGTTTTTTCTTTTTAGATTAATCTGAAAATTTGATTTTATTACTTTTATTTTATTTTGTCGCATTTTAAAACTTCAATGTTATTCAGTTTTAATTGCTTAATTAATGTTGAAAAGATTCATTCTTCCAAACACTGACAAATACTTTTATAAAAAGTAATGTAGCATTCAATTTTAATTTTCTATGCAAACTTCAAGACACTATTTCTACGATAAATTAAAAGTATTACAGATTTTGTTTTGAATAAGAATTTGTGTGTTTAATTTTAACATATTTGCATATTGAGTATTCAACAGCAGTGCAAAAATGGTCATTTTTTGAATATTTTAAGTAATAAAAATTGTAATAATTTAATAATAAAAATATTTTCAAAAAAAAAAAGCTATAACAAATTTAAAACCAATTAGAGCAGAAACAGACTGAAGTATTTCTTGACAAAAATTCTAATCAAAAAATGAATGGTTGAAAAATTTTAACAATTTAGATTTAAAAAATTTTTTTAATCAATTATGATTGCATTCTTAAAATTTTACTTTTTGCAAATAAAATCAAATACTTTAATGAAAGCTTCACACTTATGATTTCATCTGAATGTATTTTTATTAAACTTTATTTCTGAGCGAAAAAGAAACAGCTCGTTCTCGTCTCAAAAGTAACTTTACAAGTTGCTGAGTTTAAAAATGATCACTTTTTCAGCACAAAATTATCAAAAAAGAAAAAATAAATATTTTTTTAGCGACATTTCTCTAAGATGTAATTAATATTTATCGTACTTCAATCATACCAAGTATTAAAAAAATCTGAAAAATTCAGAAAATGCTAATCTAAATTAAGCGAATGATTAAACCTATTGAGTATTATTATTAAAATAATACAATCAAATCAATATTTATAAAATTCAGCAAAAATATTTAGCAACAAATTATAAATTTTTTTTCTGTCGAAAAGCTCTGAAAAATTTAAAATTCTGGCATGCAAGTAGAAAAGTAATTAAATGTTTTCATAAATAATTTTCAAAATAAATAACAAAACCGAAGAAAATAAAATAGTGAAAAAAAATGAATAAATTGTCAAAATGTATTAATTAATGTCACAGAAAATATAATTCATAATATATTTTTGAAAATAAAAAAATTGAGTACTTTTTGTTTTTTATTTAAAAAATTGAGTGTAATTGATGGATTTAAAAATGTATTTGTTATTAAATTATTAATTTGTTTTGGGTGCCTGTTTTCAATATTAAAAAATGCAAAGTATTTTGTAGATTTAATTTATTTTAAATAAAAAATCAAAAAAATTGAATAGTACTGAATTAACTTGAATTAAATTAAATTGAAGTGATGTGTGTACATGTATGTTTTCTGTGAAATGCAGTAAAAAATATTTTATCAAAACAAGTGCAATTATGTAAATTTTCTTCACAGTGCTAATTTTTCCTTTGCTTAAAGTTTTAGGTACTTCAATTAAGAACAACTTTCACAAGTATTTATTATAGAATTACTGAAGTTTGTTATTCAAGTATTACTTATAGCACTTTCTGTGATGTGATTTTAATATTTAAAAATATGCCTAAATATCAGCAGTTAGACAAAAAATATTATATCTATCTACTAATACTTAATAATAATAAAATTTTAAATTTTTAAATTTAAATTCTATCTATCGATTTTAATACTTAAAAATATGCCTCTTAATCAAAGTTATATACATCAAAATTTTAAAAAAAATAAAGAATAAAGGTTAAATTTGGACTTGGTAGTCTAAATAACAAATGAACAGCGGATTGAAAACAACTAATATATTATCTATCTATAAATATTTGTAGTAGTAGTATTCAGAAATTTTTTGCATTCATATTCCAAATAATTTACAAAGTTTTTGCTTATATTCTTATACTCTATGAACAATTCAATCACTCAATCAAAAACATACAAACAAAACAAAAATAAATTTCAAAGTCATTTGAGATTTATTTTATTTTAGCACAAAATACTTTTATAGGAGTAAATTCTTATTTTTTCAATCAGAAAATGAGGGAGTGAACTTTTGCGTGTTATTTTACGAACAAAATAACTTAAAGGTCTGATAAAATATTGCTTTTTGAAAGTAAAAAAAGTGAAAAAATTTTGTCCCAATGCCATTTTTTTTTAAATCCAAAAAAGCAAATTTTTTTTTTTCAAAAATGAAATAATTCGTAAAGTAAGTGAAAAAATTCAATATTTTTGTATACACTTTTGTAGAAATTCATTACATTAGAAAACATTATTAGTATTTATAACACTGCTAGTTGTTAATCAAGAAAATGCATTTTTATCAGTAATAAGTGAACTTATTTTTCATGGTTATTTCAAACTAGTTATTTTTTTCCTTCTGCTAAGTAAGTAAAATAGTAAGTAAGAAGATGTAAGTAATGAAAATTGATAGTTTTTTTAAAATGTAAAAATGAAAGTAAATATTTGATGAAATAATTACTATAATGCTGATTTTGAGCAAATATTCAAAACATAAAGATATTGAATTCATCAAATTTCTGAGCTGTGTGATTAATTCATTTTATTGACTTTCTTTAAAAAATAAACTTTTTTAAAAACATTTTTTTAAATAATAAAACGGACAAAACTTAAAAAACACCAATAAATATTCTTCAGCATCAACAAGCTATAAAAACAACGAACAAGCAGCTAGGGTAAGGTAATAAAAACTCTTTAATAGCAAATTTGACAATCTAAAAATACATTAATAAAAAATGGCTAGAATTACTTCAGTGAGTAGTTGTACATTTGCTTAAAATAAATATCTTTTTGCAAATATCGGAAAAAGTTAATATTAATAACAATAATAATAAAATTTAAATATTTGCAAAAATATTAATGGCAGATTATTAGTTCATAACAAGTTTATCCATGGCTATAAAAGTTACACTAGTTAAATTTTTTAATTTTATTTATTTTTCATCAATTTTATCATTTTTTAAAATATTTTTATTATTTGAGTATAAATAAGCATACTGACTTTGTTATTAACATTAATATCAATGTAAACACATCATTTTTGATAGTAATATTTTGAGGAAGAAAACAATTCATAGCTATACCATTTTTTGTAAAATAGTGATAATAATATTGATAACAGTTTGGCAATAGAGAAACTTATATCATATTATTGTTATTAAAATTATGTGTTAACACTTACAATCTTACGTTGACTAAAGCTAATTTCAATAATCAGAAATGTAATAATAATGCTAATAATGATTGTCATTAATACTGACTATATTTTTTTACCTCCATTACTATTTCCATCAGTGTATTCACTTTTCATTCCACTGTTCATTACTCTTATCAGTAATAACAATAATAATAACTAACAATTAATAATAATAATAATTATTATTATTATTATCACAATTGTTGTTATTAATTATTAGTTATCACTATTACTTTTATCATTGCTTTCCTTATTTCTGCCTTCATTACAATTAATGCTGCAACAATTATCATAGTTAATATTGTTATTTTTATTATTACACTTTGACTAAGTAACCATCGCTCCATGTCAAAAGTGATCAAAATGTAAATTTTAAACATCGACGTGAAAGCGCACAACTCTACTCAGAAAAGAAATTCTCAAATATATGACATTAAAATGCGTACAGATTAATAGAAGAAATCCTTCTCAACCTTGTTATTACTGTCATTAAATTGTAAAAATTTACTTAAGCAAATTTTCTATTTTTAAGAATAAATAATTCTAATAAACATCAAATTTAAGTTTAATTCCTATATTTGATTCAAAACTCATTAACATTTAACATTTTTTCTTTTTGCTTTAGCCATACTAAATCCTACATAACTAACAAAAAAATTAATTAAAAAAGTCGATCACAATTACATTTTTTCACAAAATTTTTTATAAAAGTCAAGTTCAGTAATAGTTATCACACACTGTGAAATATTTACAGTGATTTTATGCTAAATAATAATTCTTATAAATAAATAATATTTTTGTTAATAAATTAAAAAAAAAAGAAAGACCTAAATTTTATTAAATTTTCATAAATAGTAATTTAATAATGATACTAAAACTTGACTGTACAAATAGGTCACGGTGCCTTGAAAATTTGACCGCACAAAGAGATCACAGTACCTTTAGAACTTGACCGCAGAGAGGTCACGGTACCTTGAAAATTTGACCGCACAAAGAGATCACAGTACCTTTAAAACTTAACCGCACAAAGAGATAAAACTTGACCGCGCAAAGACATCACAGTACCTTTAGAACTTGACCGCAGAGAGGTCACGGTACCTTGAAAATTTGACCGCACAAAGAGATCACAGTACCTTTAGAACTTGACCGCAGAGAGGTCACGGTACCTTGAAAATTTGACCGCACAAAGAGATCACAGTACCTTTAAAACTTAACCGCACAAAGAATAAAACA